CCCATTTGATCATGTATAATTTCAATTTTTTTCTTTATTTAGCCAATTTTGCGTAGGGGTATGATCAATGGTCTTAAAGGCAATTCAGCTTTTGTTTTTTTTTGTCTTTGATTGGCATAGAGTCTATAACCAAGACAAGCTTCCACACCACAAAGCTTTTGCAAAAAGAGAAAGTGAGGGGTAGCATTTTGCAAAATAAAGATAGTTAAGGGGGGACAAAGTTTCCACAGCTTGTAGCTTTTGCAGTCTTTAGGAAAAGAAAGTTACAAATTGCACCCTTTTAAATATGGTCACTGTCCAGATAAAGCTTGTAAATTTCTTTTTATTTTATTTTTAATTTTTAACATGATCTTTTGCTTGAAAGTAAGGGAAGCTATGCCTTGGATCTATAACTTCAAATAATCACTCAAAAGCAGTCCAACTTCCTTTATTTTCTATGTACTTTAACCTTTTTGGTTTTATAGAGAACCACATATAGAGAGAAGTTCATAGAACAATTGTTACTGTAAAAATATATCTAAAATGAAATTCATATTAGCCATAGTTGTATTATAACTTCGAAATGAATTAATCAGTTTTAAAATATGTGAAAGTAAGACCAACGCTATTGCAATTAAGCAGTAAACAACCGAATAATAAATATTACGGGTGATATTTTCGATGTGACATGAATATGAACACGACAAATAAATAAATGAATTTGGGTTGAGTTTTCTCACGGGTAACTCACAATCTTGCAACTCGTATAACCTATAATAATTATATGGGTCGTGTTTGGCCATTCGGTTTAACATTTTGGTTTGCAGGTTAACCCGTCAATTCGTATATTCTATTAGGATTGGAAAAACATATTCTATTATTTCTATAATTCTTTTCTCATATTTCACGTATTTTCATTTTGTCCTAAATTTTGAACGTGTCACATTATACGGCTATACGCAACAACACACTTCACCGGTATCATCCCCATCCCCTCACTACAAGAATAATAGTCATTAGCGACGACACACACCTTTACCGGCGACAAATAAGTTTCACATTATTTGTCGCAGCTAATGGCTACACGTCATCGATCTGTGTCAACAGCTGAGGCGAAAGCATAGCCATCAATTTAGTCCTTATCCAACGACAAGCAATCCACATTGTATCAAACCTTTAGCGGCGACGCCTTTATTGACGACAACATCGCCGCTAACACTCGAAAAAATACCACCAAAGATTCCCTCCAAAGTTGTCGTCACTATTACTCCTTCCGTCACCGTAATTGGCCGCCGTCGCCGCTAATACGACGCGCATATAGTACCCCCCCCCCCTTCTTTCTTCTTTCTCTGTTCAGTCGCATACCCTCGAAAAATACTGGTAATAGAAACCTTTTCTCCGTCCAAAGCTTCCATCGGTGTCCACACCACTAGCAAACCAAACCTCATCACCGGCGACGTCACATCAGTGGCGTTCTAGCTCCATTTTCGGCGACTGTGAGTTTTCTTCGTTTTTTTTTCTCTTTTTCTTTTCGATTTCTCCTCTCCCCCACTAAAAGTACATGTTGGTTGAAGGAATTTCGAGTATATTGTCGGTATTTTAAGATCCCCACCAAGCTACAACTTTGTGCTGTCGATTCCCACCAATATTTTTATTTTCTGTTGATTTTGTGTATGTATGATGTGTATTTGTATGTGAATGATACATGTATATGTGTTTTTGGATGTGTATTATTTTTGTATATGTGTATTTGTATGTATAGAAAATTATGTATGTAGTTTGTGTATTTGTTTGCAATTTGAAAACTACAATGCTATAATGAAAAAAATGAAAAAAAACAAAGTATGATGCTATAATGGGATGTGTATTATTTTTGTATATGTGTATTTGTATGTATAGAAAATTATGTATGTAGTTTGTGTATTTGTATGCAATTTGGAAACTATAATGCTATAATGAAAAAATGAAAAAAACAAAGTAGGATGCTATAATGAGATGTGTATTATTTTCGAACTATTTTTCTACAAAATAAAGTTTGTAGCAGTTATTATACATGTTATACTGTTTTTTTTTTCTAATTTTAATGGTAAATACAAAAAAAATATACAATTAAGGGCGACTGGCATGTATTAATTCACTACAAGATTAAAGACCTATGGGGACAACAAAAGTCGTCACCATAGGCTTTGTCTCCATAGTTCTGTCGCTTTAGATCCTATTGTCGTCGCCATAGCCTTCATCGCCATAGCAACCCCTATAGGGACGACTTGTTGTCGCCGTAGGTGAAACTATAGCAACGACTTCTTGTCGCCATACATATCCCTATAGAGACGATAAGTCGTCCCTATAGGTTCTGCACAGATTTTACAGCTTTTACCCATGCCCATGTGATTTGTTTAATTTCCCAGGATTTTTGTATAGAATAAAATTTTTGCATACAATAAAACAAAAACAGTAAATTTAAATCTAAAACATTTTACATATCTACAATCCAACGATTTAAAATATCTTACACCATCAGTTTACCAAATACAAACAACATAATTTGAAATTTTTTAGATGTCTCATACAAAACAAACTAGAGTCCATAATCGAAACAATATCTAATGAAATGTTTTGCGTGTTTCCATATTCTTCCTTGAAACCTTCAATTCAACTTTAACTTTAGGCTAGCAATGAATCATAAGCAACATAATTTAAACAAAAAAGAAACACATAAACAACACAAACATGAATTGTTGGTAACTTCATTCTAATCTAACAATTTAGCAAATTTAGCAAGTACTAAAAACCTTTCTTTTATAATTCTCTGAAAAGCACCTTTAATTTAGCAATTTCAAATTAATCAAACTAAAAACTCAAGACCAAACTGATCATACATAAATTTGAATAGTAAACTAGTAAAAAAACAAAAAAAAAACAATAAGAAACCTGAATGCTTTAATCTTGAGTTCAGTTCTCGGCCTATGTTCTTGAACCTTTGTGCCCAATCCTCAGTCCTCATTCATCGCCCCGTCGCCCCTTCCCCTCTGTATGAAAGATCAAAGATAGAAAAAAGAATTCTTAAAAACCCTTGTCTTGTCGGTATCAAAGAAATTAAAATCCAAGAAACAATCATAAATTAATTGCACGTTTTATAAACCAAAAAAACTAATGAATCAGAAAAACCTCATAGGTAGCCTCGTAATTCTCCCAGTCTCCTCGTCTTCTTAATTAATCATGCAAGGGAATGAGGTCGCCGGAAGCCAAGGAGTACAGGGCTGACGGTGGAACTGGTCTTCTTTGAGGTTGTTGACAAGAAGAAAACCTGTGATAGAGAGAGATAGGTTGTTGACGATTTTCAAACATTCTACTTCTATTTCACAGCTTGTATATACATAAATCAATTGGCATATTTGTATTGCTCTAATTTTTATAGCATTCTACTTCAATTTTGGAACCAAATGTCGTCCCTACAGTTTTTCGGATGCCTGCGAACCAAATTTTTTTTCCCGCTCAACCTATGGAAACGATTTGTCGTCGCTTTAGGGTTTGCAGTCAAACTAAATTTGTCAACTCTATAGTGACGACTTCTCGTCCTTATATGATACTCTATGGCGACGACATTCGTCGTCCCTATAGCTTTTGTCTCTATAGAGTCATATTCTTGTAGTGATTAGTGGCAACAAGGCTTTTAGGGCGACTACGGACATTAGCGACGACAGTGTATTTGCGGCGACAAGGAGCAATAGCGGCGATATATGGAACATTTGCAGCGAGACAACAACGGCGACCTTTTGACGGCTACACGTCGCCGCAAAAGCCTTTATCGGTGACTTACCTGACGTTTAGCGGCGACTCTTGTCGCCGCTAATGCTCGCGTTTGTTGTAGTGTCTCATGTGACATTATCTCTCTCTAATTAACCATGTAAGTTTTAACTTTTTATTTTGACGTGTTCTTTTAGACATGTTTCTCTATTTATTTTTCTAGAATTTAGATGTATTACGAATTTATTTTTATGGAATTTTTTCAAATTAAACTAGTATGACCCGTGAACCGGATTCTGACCCACAAACTTCATTCTGCCCATGAACCCAATTTTGACCCACGAACTTTTATAATTAAACGGATGAGACATGCTAGTCATGTCCATGTTTGGTATATCTAGATTAATTTAGATTGAACTGACAAAATTATTTAATTATATGGGTTATGTCTAGGTTAAGCTTTGTGAACCGCAAACCCGTCAATCCGAACACAACACACTTACCGTCCTAATCTCCCTATCTAATAAAAGAATATGTTGATTCTCCTTTTGACATGTGTCACTCTATTATGCTTTATAATTAATTTCATGCCACTTGTCAAATTTATTGATTTTCCATTTTAAATTTCAAAATTTAAATTTCTCACTCTAATTATATTATATTAATAACATTAGAATAAAATTAAAATAAAGTTAATACAAATTATAAGGTGATATAATTTCACGTATTTATTTAAATCAAGGATTATAATTTTATATAACTAAAAAATATCTTAATTAATAATTTATTTAAGATAATTGATTAATAATTTTAAGT